CCCCAAAACCCCAAAACCCCAAAACCCCAAAACCCCAAAACCCCTTCTATCTGCTCTACTATAGAAAATGAATTAATTACTTAGGCTTATTGAACAAAGCATCTCTCAGACCACTGGGTCTCCATGGATTCCGGTGGGACAACTTCCTCTTAATGTACAGTTCTGAGATCTGTTTCTTCTTAGTATTATTAGACAATCCAAGGTATGCGTTCTTAGTTTCCCTTGTATAATTGCTGAATACAGATCTCGCAACATGAGAATTTGACCTAATCTTGAAATTATGTCCTCCCTTGTTCTTTTTCTTCCTACTCTTTCGCAGGATCTTTATCACTGCCTTTGGCTCTGTAGTGAGATCGCGGTATTTCAGATTCTTTAGTACCCTCTTTTGGTTCAAACTTCCAAAACTTTTATTACCAGTGTTGATTCTTTGTTGTTGAGAAATATCAAATGACCTATTTCCACCAGGAGTTGTGTAGTGGCTGGTCGAAGCAAGTATTTTATTCACATTCATATTCCTTCGAGGCATCATGCTTCCAGCAACTGATTCATAATCGATATTAGAAGTCACCTGGCTCATTGGAGGAATTCTAGGAAATTGCTTGGAAAGGATTCTCTTGTGATTTCCCTCTTGAATTTGGATAAAATTCCGATAATTTATTGATTTTGTTTCTCTAATCTTTTCATCAATTTGATCAATTCTAAATCTTCCGTTGCTTGTGTTAAAAGCTTGTTTATTTTGGTTGATAAGTTTCATCTTCATGCTGTTCTTTTGGTCACTATATGCTAATGAATGTTCTTGATTATGATCACTTTGGTTATAAAGTGATCCCTCAGAAAGGAGGTTGTGATTTGGAGGTGCCTTGTTCTCTGATTGGCTTAAACTATTGGAATTATATAGCTCATTATTTGCAATAGATGGGTTTCTTGAGGAATTAGTTTCAACTATTTTTACTTCTTTATCTGAATAAGCCATTAATCCTTCGCCTCTTTGGGCTCCTTTTTCCCATTGGCCCTTATACGAACTTCCATCGATCCAGTACATCTCTCCATACCCGTCTCTTTGATCATTATAGAAATTTCCTTTGTAATGACTACCACTTCTCCATTTATATACACCCTCTCCATGCTTCTTATCATTAAAATAACTGCCTTCATAGGAAGTTGCATTTGGAGAATTTGACTCTCTCCAAATACCTTGACCATGCCTCATGCCATCCTTGAACTCTCCTTCATAAGCCATACCTTGACTCCATACAAATTTTCCTTTCCCATTGAACTTGCCTTCATGATATTCTCCAACATAGACATCTCCATTCTTGAAAATATCAGTTCCACTGCCTGATTTAAGACCTTTTTGCCATTCACCTTCATATCGGTCTCCATTTTTCCAAATGTGCATACCATATCCATGAGGTTTGGAGCGTTTCCAGTCACCCATGAAGTATTCGCCATCATGGCCTTTCCAGATGCCTTTGCCATGCTTATGTCCTTTGACCCATTCTCCTTCGTAGCACTCGCCTGAGACCCAAGTGTATACACCTTTTCCATGGGCTCTGCCTTCTTGGAAATTTCCTTTATAAATATTTCCATTCTCAAATTTTTCGTACCCCTCACCTTCTCTCTGATCATTAGCCCAGTAACCTTGGTAGACCCTACCACTGTGGTATTTAAGGACACCCTTGCCGCTGCGAGTTGGGGTTTCTGAGGTGGCCAAAACCTGCCCGTAATAATCAGCATTTTCATAGTTAATTTCCATTACTTTTTCTTTATCCTTATTTCAGATCCTCCCATGTGAAGAGATTCGAGCTGTTGCTAATATCAATGATCACTTGTTTAGCCTTATCCTTTGCTTCTTTCATAATTATTTTATTTCATAGATTTCTATAATTTCGTTAAGAGAAGGGGTTTTGGGGTTTTGGGGTTTTGGGG